AATATTTAAAAAAAAAAAAAAAAATATGAAAAATGATTATTCTCTTTCTTATATTATTTTTTTTTTTGTTGAATTGTGTTATAATAATTATTATTGAGATTTTCGGTCAATTTATCTTATCTTTACGAAAGAAACATGGTAAGTATTATATTAAACTATGTGCGTTTTAGGTTTGACATGCTCTAAATTCTACTGCTCGTCTCGGTATATCGGCCTCCAGCTGGAGCTACGTCCGGCGGACGTGCCAAGAGTCCAAGTTCGACCTAATGAAATCGACGTGCGAAGCGCTTTAAAGCGCGATCATAAAACCAAACGAGCGCGGGGAGACGTCGTCGGATCGAGCACTCTCTAACCAGACGGCGAGCCAGACAAGGCGACACTATATATAAAGTAGGTTTATGGACTCTTACTACTTATAGTCGATCCGCGCGGCCAAGTTTTTCGGCCCTTCGTGCTTTTAACGGCGCGCTTTACAGCAGCAGCACCGTAATCGGATTATTCTGATACGACGGCGCCTCACACATATATATACACACGAGTTATACCGCCAATCGCGTCGCTGCACTCACCTGAAACAGAAAAAGAACCGCAAATTAATTATAATCGATGCCTAAAACACAGAGAGTGGAGACAAAAATTTCACTAATTATGCCCGATATATCCTACGAGCGTTTTTTTAAACTTTACCAATAGAATTACGTATCTTTGTCGATATATGTCGAAAACAATTCTCACCGCTATTATTTTATCGCAATTATTTTTTAACCGGGTTTCACGTGCCTCCCCCACCTCCCTCCAAATTTTTCAAACGTTTGACAATGTTCCGCCGGCTCATCCCTGTCAGACCAGACATTGAAAAGGGTAACAACGATACGATGTTTATCCAAGGGGAGAAACAGAGAGAGAGAGAGAGAGAGAGAGGGAAAAGAGATCTCTACGTAACGTTCAGCGTACCTCGGCTTACGTAACACGCGTAGCCGAAGGAAAGGGTCCTAACTGTTTGCTCGGCCGCAATGCTATCTGTTTCGATACGTGTGTTTGCAGTTCCCATGTTGACAGGCGCACTATGCTTCGGCCTCACGAGCTTGACGAATCGTTTATATATTTACTCGTCATGGATGCGTTTACACGCACGTATAGACGATCGCACATGAAGCGCGCGCACGATGCACGCGCGCGAGCACGACTATGTCGGCACGCGCATAAAAATTCCTCCTTTTCGAAACTGATTAAACAGGATCCTCTTTATCTTCCTAATATATTATATAAGGGAAAAAAGAGAGAAAGAGAGAAAAAATACATCTACCAAAAAATCTATACATTTATTTTATAGCAAATGAACGCGCTGCGTTTTATCAAAATTAATAATTTTTATTTTTATATTTTTGTAGTTTTTTTCGGTAGATAAGTCAGTTTAAAGGCCAATTTTTCTCAGATTTTAATTTATTTTTCCGTTTGCATTAAAAAAAGCTACTATGCTCAAAAGTTTGAAACAGTAATATCAAATCTCCGTTAATCATCACAAGAAATAAATTTCTGATGTATAGCATAATTAAGTGTTAATTTATTGAATTTATTGAATTTATCATTTCTACCAATTAGCAGAAAATTGATATTAATAAAAGTGATATATTAGAAATGATCGCAAATTAAATATATTACAATTAAATTTCAAAAATATTACATTTTTGATGCAAATGCATCAACACGAAATACTATAATATTATATAACAGTAAAGTAATTAAAAAGTAAGAAGAGAGAGAAAAAGTTAACAATATTAACTTGATATCAAGATGTTTTTCTAGTTCCACATTTATTGCTCGTGAAATAAGTTTAAAAAGTAATGAAAAACGTTCCAACGTCGTTATAAGAACAATTTATGTCATTGCAATTAATTGAGCTTCTTCGTTTTTGATATTGAAATATTTCTCAAATTATTTATTCTCAAGATATATTAATACCAAATTTATTAACGTTTAATTTGGAAAAAGGTCCCAAACGATATGATATTGCTAAAGTAGGTAAATATTAGGGCAACAACGTCACGTTTAATTTTTTTACTAATTGACAACATCGATAAATCGTCGGAATTAGAGAAACAAATTGGTAATTTAATCATACGATACACTCACCAAATTTGATTTCTCGTGGTAGGATGCCAGGTTAACAAAGTAAAGTAACAAAAGTGATGTAATCTAATGGAGAGTGCAATAAATATATATCTTGGAGTATAAATTATTCTCAATTTGCAGCTCTAAGAACTAAAGTCTAAAGACTAAATGATACATCGGCTTCGGTTACCTTCCCTCTGTTATATCCAAAATCTTGATTTAGCCATAAGATTCTTTGAGGATTTAAATGCGTAAATATCTCAATGAAAAATATCTTTCTATCCGAGTGCAGTATCGATACTCTTCGGATGTCGATATCAAATAGTCATGTAATAAACGCGATTGGACGATCAGGATGTACGCTTCGCTTCGATCTCTTCCCCCCTCTCTCTCTCTCTCTCTCTCCCTCCCCCCCCCCCCCCCTCCTCTCTCTCTCTCTCTCTCTTTCTCTCTCTCTCTGTTGTGTGTATCTTGGCATAACAGCCGATGATAAGCGGGCGCGATGATATTGGGAGTTCTACGCGCGCAGTTATACACCGGCGGCCTATTACACGCCGTATTACCACTGTCAACATACGCGCACGCATAATAACGGTTATTAGATACGCACGCCGGGGCTGGCTGCGCGGCCGGGATTTACCCTTTGCATTACCGCCGGCACCGCGTCCGCACAATCCTGTCCACGTTCCCGCGGACTCGCGCCGGATGTTTGCCGTTGTCGAGATGCTTGCGGCGCTCATATCGAGATCAACGTTCGTCGCAAGCTACCGCTAGCGATCGGCGGATTGATCAAAAAAGTTCGGATCCTGTTCGATGAGATTACTATTTTCTCATATCGTGAATATCCAGACTAATAACATTTTGTACAATTTTTAGTAGCGAAATATAGCTTACACAAATTTCGAATTCACGAAGGAATACAACTATTAAGTTTTTGGTATTTTCATTTTTTGTTTCTTATCATTATGCCGCGTGCTTATCATTTAAATCGTATACAGATTAAAGATGATCCAAGTAAGTGTGAAGGAAATTTTATTAAGATGTAAATTCGATTAATTAGAAAGAAATTGCGCTCGTTCAACAAGCGCATGGCTTGCCTTTCTTCTTTAGTTGCTCGTCGAATCTCCGAGTCTTCATTAGATTTTTAATCTCAATTTTTTTTTATTTAGATATTTAGATGTTGCGTTAAGTAAAAAAAAAGACATAGTAGAATTTGCATAATCGTGTATTTGGGAAAGGCAAATAAACAAATTCCTCGCATGCATGTGATAATTATCGATCGATCATTTACCGCGAATGCATGCAATTCTCATTAACGAGGCTTTCTTTTACAAAAAGACCGAGATACGTGAATCGACTAATTGGCAGAGATCGGATTTACTTACGAGAGAGATTAAACATGATTATCTTCGCATTGATCGGAATTTCAATGAGCGCCAAAGAGACCTCGAATGGATCTCGAGGGATAGGACAACGGATTTATGAATCACTGTCGTGGAACAGGTGTTTATGATCGATACAGCCATCGTCGGCAGACGACATATTGCGCGATGGCTGTATCGGCTAAATCGCAAAGACCGCGACGCGTTTAGGGCTTTCGACAGTTTAATGGATATTCTCGGTCGCGACGTGACGACAGATGACCGAGGACGGTCAGTCGGGGCGGACAAACCTGTACTTTTCGCCGGTGTGCAACAACAAGCGATCTGCGCGCGACCGCGATCGAAAGAGAATGTGAATGAAAGCGGCAGGAAACTCCGCGGAATGGCGAATAGCGCGAGATACATGCCCTTCCTTTTTGGGCCGAAACCGGGCGAAGAAACTGGTTCCCCTCCCCCCACCCCCCCACTCCTCATGTACGTGCGTAGGATTTTATTGTTCGAAAATTGCAATTAGTACAGTTCCCTCATTTGCGAGCGTACTTTCTCACGGGTAATGTTCCCTCGTCCTCGCCGCGGATGCTATTCAGCCCGGTATAAAACGGAATTTTCGGACAAAGAGTGTATTAAACAAAGAGTGGCAGGAATGAAAGGTCACGATGTATGTATTCCGTGGAAAGACTGTGTTTTAAAGCGAAAGAAAGATAATACAACGCGCGCGCCTTTGCCGAAGCGAACGGAAACACACTTCCGAAATACGCGAAACGCGACGTTACATATGGCGTCCCATAAAAATACCGCGGTTTCTTTTGCCTCTCTCTCTCTCTGTCTGCGAATTCTCCTTCGTCAATTCGAAGCCGATTTTTCCTTAATAGAAATGTCTAGCTCTACCATCGTTTTAAGCACATTTTATTAATCGAGGATCGTCAATGTGTACGAAACTCTTCTCCCTTCCCCCCAAACCCTCTTTCTCACTCTTCCTTTCTGTTCCCCTCGTCGCGTTCAGTATGTCGCAGCGGCAAACAAAGCCGAGGACATCATATGCAGGTAGGATTATAGCCGAGGACCCCTTTTTTCGGTTTAGAGGGATGAGCGAGAGCCACCCTCCTCGATGTCCCGACGAAGTCCGTCCCGGAGCTGATCCCGCGCTGGTCCCCCTCTCGCCCGCGGAGACGAGGGGGGCTGCGAAATCGTGGCTGCGGGATGCGCTCGGGATGTTAAATGCACAAATGTGTAACTGCATTGTCAAATGGAAAAATCTCCCCCGGGACGTCGATGGCACAATAATGGGACAGATTATAATCTCGTCTACCCCCCGGGGGGGAGGGCGCTGCTCCCCCCCCCGCCTCTCGGATGTTAGCCTTCCGTAAGCCTTCCCCATATCTCTCGTCGTGTCTCACCTTGCTCTCTCTCTCTCTCTCTCTCTCTCACCCTGTCTTGTGTACACGCACGGTACACGCGTGCGGTGTATCTTGTCCGACTATTGACTACCCCGTAGTCGTTGTGTGCCACCCTCCCGCGTCACCGTGTATCGTTCCCCTTCTCTCCCCGTGTGTCCCCGTGTGTCGAGCCCCTTGCACGACACGCTATAGCCTAATTAAGTGGGCATAATAGATCCGACAGTTGTGCGTATTGTCCGTCGACGTAAAGTATCCGGCGTACCATTTCCATCCCGCCCTTCCCAAAGACTTTATATCTCGAGTGAGAGCTTACTTTTGGGATATCAACGCAATATTATAACAGTGAGATAATCAGATTTTCGCCAGACTAGATTTTCTCGTGCTTCTCTTTTTTTTCTTTTTTTAGAGATTTTTGATAAAGAAAAATTCTTGCGTGGAAAAGAAAATGAATCGGCGTTTGCGATGAATGTGCAATCGCTTGTGCATTCAATCACTCGACATTCCCTAACGCGATACCGCATTACCTCATCGTCATAAATAGACACGCTCGATATCGCAGCCGAGAATATACTATATATTAATCGCCACCTTCTTTCCTCATCCTCCTCGCTGATTTACGCTCGCGCGAGTACGGAGAGGATGCGCGCGCGTCGCATCTTGGAGACGTCTCTCTAGATA